CAATTTTTCACCTTCCAGAATTGTGTTAGGAGCACGTTTCAGGCCACGGGGAGTCCATAGAACCTGATTGTGGGTGAAGTTTTCGGGGGTTGGAGCTTTGGGGCAGGATATAGGGATATGTGCCACTTTTGACATGCCGGTTCATTGCCTTTCCCATGATGAACCGGGCTGAGATTTGGTCTACCCCCCATTTTCGGGTATGCTGAATCTAGAAATAGTAATGAACCAGCGATCGGACATTCCTATCAAAAGTTATGGCGAAGTGAAAATTTCCCATTGAAAATGAATGGGAGCGGAAAATGGCCAAAGTCAGTGTTTGCAAGTGTTGTACTTGTCTGGAAATGTTGAAAATGCATTGTGAGCACGTTTCAGGCCATTTCCTGTCATTTGAGGGCGACTTTGCAAAAGGGGTGTCCTACCGCTTTTGACCAGAGGTGGCGCTGCACATGTCCGACGGTTAGGGTTAGGGTGAGACTTTGGGCAAGGGGTTAGGGTTAGGGCTGGAGCTATGGTTAGGGTTAGTTGTGGAGCTAGGGTTAGGGTTAGGGTTGGAGCTAGGGTTAGGGTTAGGGTTGGAGCTAGGGTTAGGGTTAGGGTTAGGAAAATGTGAAGATTTTCCCAAAATCTGAAGATTTTCCTAAGTGCGGACCCAATTTTTCACCTTCCAGAATTGTGTTAGGAGCACGTTTCAGGCCACGGGGAGTCCATAGAACCTGATTGTGGGTGAAGTTTTCGGGGGTTGGAGCTTTGGGGCAGGATATAGGGATATGTGCCACTTTTGACATGCCGGTTCATTGCCTTTCCCATGATGAACCGGGCTGAGATTTGGTCTACCCCCCCATTTTCGGGTATGCTGAATCTAGAAATAGTAATGAACCAGCGATCGGACATTCCTATCAAAAGTTATGGCGAAGTGAAAATTTCCCATTGAAAATGAATGGGAGCGGAAAAATGGCCAAAGTCAGTGTTTGCAAGTGTTGTACTTGTCTGGAAATGTTGAAAATGCATTGTGAGCACGTTTCAGGCCATTTCCTGTCATTTGAGGGCGACTTTGCAAAAGGGGTGTCCTACCGCTTTTGACCAGAGGTGGCGCTGCACATGTCCGACGGTTAGGGTTAGGGTGAGACTTTGGGCAAGGGGTTAGGGTTAGGGCTGGAGCTATGGTTAGGGTTAGTTGTGGAGCTAGGGTTAGGGTTAGGGTTGGAGCTAGGGTTAGGGTTAGGGTTGGAGCTAGGGTTAGGGTTAGGGTTAGGAAAATGTGAAGATTTTCCCAAAATCTGAAGATTTTCCTAAGTGCGGACCCAATTTTTCACCTTCCAGAATTGTGTTAGGAGCACGTTTCAGGCCACGGGGAGTCCATAGAACCTGATTGTGGGTGAAGTTTTCGGGGGTTGGAGCTTTGGGGCAGGATATAGGGATATGTGCCACTTTTGACATGCCGGTTCATTGCCTTTCCCATGATGAACCGGGCTGAGATTTGGTCTACCCCCCATTTTCGGGTATGCTGAATCTAGAAATAGTAATGAACCAGCGATCGGACATTCCTATCAAAAGTTATGGCGAAGTGAAAATTTCCCATTGAAAATGAATGGGAGCGGAAAATGGCCAAAGTCAGTGTTTGCAAGTGTTGTACTTGTCTGGAAGTGTTGAAAATGCATTGTGAGCACGTTTCAGGCCATTTCCTGTCATTTGAGGGCGACTTTGCAAAAAGGGGTGTCCTACCGCTTTTGACCAGAGGTGGCGCTGCACATGTCCGACGGTTAGGGTTAGGGTGAGACTTTGGGCAAGGGGTTAGGGTTAGGGCTGGAGCTATGGTTAGGGTTAGTTGTGGAGCTAGGGTTAGGGTTAGGGTTGGAGCTAGGGTTAGGGTTAGGGTTGGAGCTAGGGTTAGGGTTAGGGTTAGGAAAATGTGAAGATTTTCCCAAAATCTGAAGATTTTCCTAAGTGCGGACCCAATTTTTCACCTTCCAGAATTGTGTTAGGAGCACGTTTCAGGCCACGGGGAGTCCATAGAACCTGATTGTGGGTGAAGTTTTCGGGGGTTGGAGCTTTGGGGCAGGATATAGGGATATGTGCCACTTTTGACATGCCGGTTCATTGCCTTTCCCATCGATGAACCGGGCTGAGATTTGGTCTACCCCCCCATTTTCGGGTATGCTGAATCTAGAAATAGTAATGAACCAGCGATCGGACATTCCTATCAAAAGTTATGGCGAAGTGAAAATTTCCCATTGAAAATGAATGGGAGCGGAAAATGGCCAAAGTCAGTGTTTGCAAGTGTTGTACTTGTCTGGAAATGTTGAAAATGCATTGTGAGCACGTTTCAGGCCATTTCCTGTCATTTGAGGGCGACTTTGCAAAAAGGGGTGTCATACCGCTTTTGACCAGAGGTGGCGCTGCACATGTCCGACGGTTAGGGTTAGGGTGAGACTTTGGGCAAGGGGTTAGGGTTAGGGCTGGAGCTATGGTTAGGGTTAGTTGTGGAGCTGGGGTTAGGGTTAGGGTTGGAGCTAGGGTTAGGGTTAGGGTTGGAGCTAGGGTTAGGGTTAGGGTTAGGAAAATGTGAAGATTTTCCCAAAATCTGAAGATTTTCCTAAGTGCGGACCCAATTTTTCACCTTCCAGAATTGTGTTAGGAGCACGTTTCAGGCCACGGGGAGTCCATAGAACCTGATTGTGGGTGAAGTTTTCGGGGGTTGGAGCTTTGGGGCAGGATATAGGGATATGTGCCACTTTTGACATGCCGGTTCATTGCCTTTCCCATGATGAACCGGGCTGAGATTTGGTCTACCCCCCATTTTCGGGTATGCTGAATCTAGAAATAGTAATGAACCAGCGATCGGACATTCCTATCAAAAGTTATGGCGAAGTGAAAATTTCCCATTGAAAATGAATGGGAGCGGAAAATGGCCAAAGTCAGTGTTTGCAAGTGTTGTACTTGTCTGGAAATGTTGAAAATGCATTGTGAGCACGTTTCAGGCCATTTCCTGTCATTTGAGGGCGACTTTGCAAAAAGGGGTGTCCTACCGCTTTTGACCAGAGGTGGCGCTGCACATGTCCGACGGTTAGGGTTAGGGTGAGACTTTGGGCAAGGGGTTAGGGTTAGGGCTGGAGCTATGGTTAGGGTTAGTTGTGGAGCTAGGGTTAGGGTTAGGGTTGGAGCTAGGGTTAGGGTTAGGGTTGGAGCTAGGGTTAGGGTTAGGGTTAGGAAAATGTGAAGATTTTCCCAAAATCTGAAGATTTTCCTAAGTGCGGACCCAATTTTTCACCTTCCAGAATTGTGTTAGGAGCACGTTTCAGGCCACGGGGAGTCCATAGAACCTGATTGTGGGTGAAGTTTTCGGGGGTTGGAGCTTTGGGGCAGGATATAGGGATATGTGCCACTTTTGACATGCCGGTTCATTGCCTTTCCCATGATGAACCGGGCTGAGATTTGGTCTACCCCCCATTTTCGGGTATGCTGAATCTAGAAATAGTAATGAACCAGCGATCGGACATTCCTATCAAAAGTTATGGCGAAGTGAAAATTTCCCATTGAAAATGAATGGGAGCGGAAAATGGCCAAAGTCAGTGTTTGCAAGTGTTGTACTTGTCTGGAAGTGTTGAAAATGCATTGTGAGCACGTTTCAGGCCATTTCCTGTCATTTGAGGGCGACTTTGCAAAAGGGGTGTCCTACCGCTTTTGACCAGAGGTGGCGCTGCACATGTCCGACGGTTAGGGTTAGGGTGAGACTTTGGGCAAGGGGTTAGGGTTAGGGCTGGAGCTATGGTTAGGGTTAGTTGTGGAGCTAGGGTTAGGGTTAGGGTTGGAGCTAGGGTTAGGGTTAGGGTTGGAGCTAGGGTTAGGGTTAGGGTTAGGAAAATGTGAAGATTTTCCCAAAATCTGAAGATTTTCCTAAGTGCGGACCCAATTTTTCACCTTCCAGAATTGTGTTAGGAGCACGTTTCAGGCCACGGGGAGTCCATAGAACCTGATTGTGGGTGAAGTTTTCGGGGGTTGGAGCTTTGGGGCAGGATATAGGGATATGTGCCACTTTTGACATGCCGGTTCATTGCCTTTCCCATGATGAACCGGGCTGAGATTTGGTCTACCCCCCATTTTCGGGTATGCTGAATCTAGAAATAGTAATGAACCAGCGATCGGACATTCCTATCAAAAGTTATGGCGAAGTGAAAATTTCCCATTGAAAATGAATGGGAGCGGAAAATGGCCAAAGTCAGTGTTTGCAAGTGTTGTACTTGTCTGGAAGTGTTGAAAATGCATTGTGAGCACGTTTCAGGCCATTTCCTGTCATTTGAGGGCGACTTTGCAAAAGGGGTGTCCTACCGCTTTTGACCAGAGGTGGCGCTGCACATGTCCGACGGTTAGGGTTAGGGTGAGACTTTGGGCAAGGGGTTAGGGTTAGGGCTGGAGCTATGGTTAGGGTTAGTTGTGGAGCTAGGGTTGGAGCTAGGGTTAGGGTTAGGGTTGGAGCTAGGGTTAGGGTTAGGGTTAGGAAAATGTGAAGATTTTCCCAAAATCTGAAGATTTTCCTAAGTGCGGACCCAATTTTTCACCTTCCAGAATTGTGTTAGGAGCACGTTTCAGGCCACGGGGAGTCCATAGAACCTGATTGTGGGTGAAGTTTTCGGGGGTTGGAGCTTTGGGGCAGGATATAGGGATATGTGCCACTTTTGACATGCCGGTTCATTGCCTTTCCCATGATGAACCGGGCTGAGATTTGGTCTACCCCCCATTTTCGGGTATGCTGAATCTAGAAATAGTAATGAACCAGCGATCGGACATTCCTATCAAAAGTTATGGCGAAGTGAAAATTTCCCATTGAAAATGAATGGGAGCGGAAAATGGCCAAAGTCAGTGTTTGCAAGTGTTGTACTTGTCTGGAAGTGTTGAAAATGCATTGTGAGCACGTTTCAGGCCATTTCCTGTCATTTGAGGGCGACTTTGCAAAAGGGGTGTCCTACCGCTTTTGACCAGAGGTGGCGCTGCACATGTCCGACGGTTAGGGTTAGGGTGAGACTTTGGGCAAGGGGTTAGGGTTAGGGCTGGAGCTATGGTTAGGGTTAGTTGTGGAGCTAGGGTTAGGGTTAGGGTTGGAGCTAGGGTTAGGGTTAGGGTTGGAGCTAGGGTTAGGGTTAGGGTTAGGAAAATGTGAAGATTTTCCCAAAATCTGAAGATTTTCCTAAGTGCGGACCCAATTTTTCACCTTCCAGAATTGTGTTAGGAGCACGTTTCAGGCCACGGGGAGTCCATAGAACCTGATTGTGGGTGAAGTTTTCGGGGGTTGGAGCTTTGGGGCAGGATATAGGGATATGTGCCACTTTTGACATGCCGGTTCATTGCCTTTCCCATGATGAACCGGGCTGAGATTTGGTCTACCCCCCCATTTTCGGGTATGCTGAATCTAGAAATAGTAATGAACCAGCGATCGGACATTCCTATCAAAAGTTATGGCGAAGTGAAAATTTCCCATTGAAAATGAATGGGAGCGGAAAATGGCCAAAGTCAGTGTTTGCAAGTGTTGTACTTGTCTGGAAGTGTTGAAAATGCATTGTGAGCACGTTTCAGGCCATTTCCTGTCATTTGAGGGCGACTTTGCAAAAAGGGGTGTCCTACCGCTTTTGACCAGAGGTGGCGCTGCACATGTCCGACGGTTAGGGTTAGGGTGAGACTTTGGGCAAGGGGTTAGGGTTAGGGCTGGAGCTATGGTTAGGGTTAGTTGTGGAGCTAGGGTTAGGGTTAGGGTTGGAGCTAGGGTTAGGGTTAGGGTTGGAGCTAGGGTTAGGGTTAGGGTTAGGAAAATGTGAAGATTTTCCCAAAATCTGAAGATTTTCCTAAGTGCGGACCCAATTTTTCACCTTCCAGAATTGTGTTAGGAGCACGTTTCAGGGCCACGGGGAGTCCATAGAACCTGATTGTGGGTGAAGTTTTCGGGGGTTGGAGCTTTGGGGCAGGATATAGGGATATGTGCCACTTTTGACATGCCGGTTCATTGCCTTTCCCATCGATGAACCGGGCTGAGATTTGGTCTACCCCCCATTTTCGGGTATGCTGAATCTAGAAATAGTAATGAACCAGCGATCGGACATTCCTATCAAAAGTTATGGCGAAGTGAAAATTTCCCATTGAAAATGAATGGGAGCGGAAAAATGGCCAAAGTCAGTGTTTGCAAGTGTTGTACTTGTCTGGAAGTGTTGAAAATGCATTGTGAGCACGTTTCAGGCCATTTCCTGTCATTTGAGGGCGACTTTGCAAAAAGGGGTGTCCTACCGCTTTTGACCAGAGGTGGCGCTGCACATGTCCGACGGTTAGGGTTAGGGTGAGACTTTGGGCAAGGGGTTAGGGTTAGGGCTGGAGCTATGGTTAGGGTTAGTTGTGGAGCTAGGGTTAGGGTTAGGGTTGGAGCTAGGGTTAGGGTTAGGGTTGGAGCTAGGGTTAGGGTTAGGGTTAGGAAAATGTGAAGATTTTCCCAAAATCTGAAGATTTTCCTAAGTGCGGACCCAATTTTTCACCTTCCAGAATTGTGTTAGGAGCACGTTTCAGGCCACGGGGAGTCCATAGAACCTGATTGTGGGTGAAGTTTTCGGGGGTTGGAGCTTTGGGGCAGGATATAGGGATATGTGCCACTTTTGACATGCCGGTTCATTGCCTTTCCCATGATGAACCGGGCTGAGATTTGGTCTACCCCCCCATTTTCGGGTATGCTGAATCTAGAAATAGTAATGAACCAGCGATCGGACATTCCTATCAAAAGTTATGGCGAAGTGAAAATTTCCCATTGAAAATGAATGGGAGCGGAAAATGGCCAAAGTCAGTGTTTGCAAGTGTTGTACTTGTCTGGAAGTGTTGAAAATGCATTGTGAGCACGTTTCAGGCCATTTCCTGTCATTTGAGGGCGACTTTGCAAAAAGGGGTGTCCTACCGCTTTTGACCAGAGGTGGCGCTGCACATGTCCGACGGTTAGGGTTAGGGTGAGACTTTGGGCAAGGGGTTAGGGTTAGGGCTGGAGCTATGGTTAGGGTTAGTTGTGGAGCTAGGGTTAGGGTTAGGGTTGGAGCTAGGGTTAGGGTTAGGGTTGGAGCTAGGGTTAGGGTTAGGGTTAGGAAAATGTGAAGATTTTCCCAAAATCTGAAGATTTTCCTAAGTGCGGACCCAATTTTTCACCTTCCAGAATTGTGTTAGGAGCACGTTTCAGGCCACGGGGAGTCCATAGAACCTGATTGTGGGTGAAGTTTTCGGGGGTTGGAGCTTTGGGGCAGGATATAGGGATATGTGCCACTTTTGACATGCCGGTTCATTGCCTTTCCCATGATGAACCGGGCTGAGATTTGGTCTACCCCCCCATTTTCGGGTATGCTGAATCTAGAAATAGTAATGAACCAGCGATCGGACATTCCTATCAAAAGTTATGGCGAAGTGAAAATTTCCCATTGAAAATGAATGGGAGCGGAAAATGGCCAAAGTCAGTGTTTGCAAGTGTTGTACTTGTCTGGAAGTGTTGAAAATGCATTGTGAGCACGTTTCAGGCCATTTCCTGTCATTTGAGGGCGACTTTGCAAAAGGGGTGTCCTACCGCTTTTGACCAGAGGTGGCGCTGCACATGTCCGACGGTTAGGGTTAGGGTGAGACTTTGGGCAAGGGGTTAGGGTTAGGGCTGGAGCTATGGTTAGGGTTAGTTGTGGAGCTAGGGTTAGGGTTAGGGTTGGAGCTAGGGTTAGGGTTAGGGTTGGAGCTAGGGTTAGGGTTAGGGTTAGGAAAATGTGAAGATTTTCCCAAAATCTGAAGATTTTCCTAAGTGCGGACCCAATTTTTCACCTTCCAGAATTGTGTTAGGAGCACGTTTCAGGCCACGGGGAGTCCATAGAACCTGATTGTGGGTGAAGTTTTCGGGGGTTGGAGCTTTGGGGCAGGATATAGGGATATGTGCCACTTTTGACATGCCGGTTCATTGCCTTTCCCATCGATGAACCGGGCTGAGATTTGGTCTACCCCCCCATTTTCGGGTATGCTGAATCTAGAAATAGTAATGAACCAGCGATCGGACATTCCTATCAAAAGTTATGGCGAAGTGAAAATTTCCCATTGAAAATGAATGGGAGCGGAAAATGGCCAAAGTCAGTGTTTGCAAGTGTTGTACTTGTCTGGAAGTGTTGAAAATGCATTGTGAGCACGTTTCAGGCCATTTCCTGTCATTTGAGGGCGACTTTGCAAAAAGGGGTGTCCTACCGCTTTTGACCAGAGGTGGCGCTGCACATGTCCGACGGTTAGGGTTAGGGTGAGACTTTGGGCAAGGGGTTAGGGTTAGGGCTGGAGCTATGGTTAGGGTTAGTTGTGGAGCTAGGGTTAGGGTTAGGGTTGGAGCTAGGGTTAGGGTTAGGGTTGGAGCTAGGGTTAGGGTTAGGGTTAGGAAAATGTGAAGATTTTCCCAAAATCTGAAGATTTTCCTAAGTGCGGACCCAATTTTTCACCTTCCAGAATTGTGTTAGGAGCACGTTTCAGGCCACGGGGAGTCCATAGAACCTGATTCTGGGTGAAGTTTTCGGGGGTTGGAGCTTTGGGGCAGGATATAGGGATATGTGCCACTTTTGACATGCCGGTTCATTGCCTTTCCCATGATGAACCGGGCTGAGATTTGGTCTACCCCCCATTTTCGGGTATGCTGAATCTAGAAATAGTAATGAACCAGCGATCGGACATTCCTATCAAAAGTTATGGCGAAGTGAAAATTTCCCATTGAAAATGAATGGGAGCGGAAAATGGCCAAAGTCAGTGTTTGCAAGTGTTGTACTTGTCTGGAAGTGTTGAAAATGCATTGTGAGCACGTTTCAGGCCATTTCCTGTCATTTGAGGGCGACTTTGCAAAAGGGGTGTCCTACCGCTTTTGACCAGAGGTGGCGCTGCACATGTCCGACGGTTAGGGTTAGGGTGAGACTTTGGGCAAGGGGTTAGGGTTAGGGCTGGAGCTATGGTTAGGGTTAGTTGTGGAGCTAGGGTTAGGGTTAGGGTTGGAGCTAGGGTTAGGGTTAGGGTTGGAGCTAGGGTTAGGGTTAGGGTTAGGAAAATGTGAAGATTTTCCCAAAATCTGAAGATTTTCCTAAGTGCGGACCCAATTTTTCACCTTCCAGAATTGTGTTAGGAGCACGTTTCAGGCCACGGGGAGTCCATAGAACCTGATTCTGGGTGAAGTTTTCGGGGGTTGGAGCTTTGGGGCAGGATATAGGGATATGTGCCACTTTTGACATGCCGGTTCATTGCCTTTCCCATCGATGAACCGGGCTGAGATTTGGTCTACCCCCCATTTTCGGGTATGCTGAATCTAGAAATAGTAATGAACCAGCGATCGGACATTCCTATCAAAAGTTATGGCGAAGTGAAAATTTCCCATTGAAAATGAATGGGAGCGGAAAATGGCCAAAGTCAGTGTTTGCAAGTGTTGTACTTGTCTGGAAGTGTTGAAAATGCATTGTGAGCACGTTTCAGGCCATTTCCTGTCATTTGAGGGCGACTTTGCAAAAGGGGTGTCCTACCGCTTTTGACCAGAGGTGGCGCTGCACATGTCCGACGGTTAGGGTTAGGGTGAGACTTTGGGCAAGGGGTTAGGGTTAGGGCTGGAGCTATGGTTAGGGTTAGTTGTGGAGCTAGGGTTAGGGTTAGGGTTGGAGCTAGGGTTAGGGTTAGGGTTGGAGCTAGGGTTAGGGTTAGGGTTAGGAAAATGTGAAGATTTTCCCAAAATCTGAAGATTTTCCTAAGTGCGGACCCAATTTTTCACCTTCCAGAATTGTGTTAGGAGCACGTTTCAGGCCACGGGGAGTCCATAGAACCTGATTGTGGGTGAAGTTTTCGGGGGTTGGAGCTTTGGGGCAGGATATAGGGATATGTGCCACTTTTGACATGCCGGTTCATTGCCTTTCCCATGATGAACCGGGCTGAGATTTGGTCTACCCCCCCATTTTCGGGTATGCTGAATCTAGAAATAGTAATGAACCAGCGATCGGACATTCCTATCAAAAGTTATGGCGAAGTGAAAATTTCCCATTGAAAATGAATGGGAGCGGAAAATGGCCAAAGTCAGTGTTTGCAAGTGTTGTACTTGTCTGGAAGTGTTGAAAATGCATTGTGAGCACGTTTCAGGCCATTTCCTGTCATTTGAGGGCGACTTTGCAAAAAGGGGTGTCCTACCGCTTTTGACCAGAGGTGGCGCTGCACATGTCCGACGGTTAGGGTTAGGGTGAGACTTTGGGCAAGGGGTTAGGGTTAGGGCTGGAGCTATGGTTAGGGTTAGTTGTGGAGCTAGGGTTAGGGTTAGGGTTGGAGCTAGGGTTAGGGTTAGGGTTGGAGCTAGGGTTAGGGTTAGGGTTAGGAAAATGTGAAGATTTTCCCAAAATCTGAAGATTTTCCTAAGTGCGGACCCAATTTTTCACCTTCCAGAATTGTGTTAGGAGCACGTTTCAGGCCACGGGGAGTCCATAGAACCTGATTGTGGGTGAAGTTTTCGGGGGTTGGAGCTTTGGGGCAGGATATAGGGATATGTGCCACTTTTGACATGCCGGTTCATTGCCTTTCCCATCGATGAACCGGGCTGAGATTTGGTCTACCCCCCATTTTCGGGTATGCTGAATCTAGAAATAGTAATGAACCAGCGATCGGACATTCCTATCAAAAGTTATGGCGAAGTGAAAATTTCCCATTGAAAATGAATGGGAGCGGAAAATGGCCAAAGTCAGTGTTTGCAAGTGTTGTACTTGTCTGGAAGTGTTGAAAATGCATTGTGAGCACGTTTCAGGCCATTTCCTGTCATTTGAGGGCGACTTTGCAAAAAGGGGTGTCCTACCGCTTTTGACCAGAGGTGGCGCTGCACATGTCCGACGGTTAGGGTTAGGGTGAGACTTTGGGCAAGGGGTTAGGGTTAGGGCTGGAGCTATGGTTAGGGTTAGTTGTGGAGCTAGGGTTAGGGTTAGGGTTGGAGCTAGGGTTAGGGTTAGGGTTGGAGCTAGGGTTAGGGTTAGGGTTAGGAAAATGTGAAGATTTTCCCAAAATCTGAAGATTTTCCTAAGTGCGGACCCAATTTTTCACCTTCCAGAATTGTGTTAGGAGCACGTTTCAGGCCACGGGGAGTCCATAGAACCTGATTGTGGGTGAAGTTTTCGGGGGTTGGAGCTTTGGGGCAGGATATAGGGATATGTGCCACTTTTGACATGCCGGTTCATTGCCTTTCCCATCGATGAACCGGGCTGAGATTTGGTCTACCCCCCATTTTCGGGTATGCTGAATCTAGAAATAGTAATGAACCAGCGATCGGACATTCCTATCAAAAGTTATGGCGAAGTGAAAATTTCCCATTGAAAATGAATGGGAGCGGAAAAATGGCCAAAGTCAGTGTTTGCAAGTGTTGTACTTGTCTGGAAGTGTTGAAAATGCATTGTGAGCACGTTTCAGGCCATTTCCTGTCATTTGAGGGCGACTTTGCAAAAGGGGTGTCCTACCGCTTTTGACCAGAGGTGGCGCTGCACATGTCCGACGGTTAGGGTTAGGGTGAGACTTTGGGCAAGGGGTTAGGGTTAGGGCTGGAGCTATGGTTAGGGTTAGTTGTGGAGCTAGGGTTAGGGTTAGGGTTGGAGCTAGGGTTAGGGTTAGGGTTGGAGCTAGGGTTAGGGTTAGGGTTAGGAAAATGTGAAGATTTTCCCAAAATCTGAAGATTTTCCTAAGTGCGGACCCAATTTTTCACCTTCCAGAATTGTGTTAGGAGCACGTTTCAGGCCACGGGGAGTCCATAGAACCTGATTGTGGGTGAAGTTTTCGGGGGTTGGAGCTTTGGGGCAGGATATAGGGATATGTGCCACTTTTGACATGCCGGTTCATTGCCTTTCCCATGATGAACCGGGCTGAGATTTGGTCTACCCCCCCATTTTCGGGTATGCTGAATCTAGAAATAGTAATGAACCAGCGATCGGACATTCCTATCAAAAGTTATGGCGAAGTGAAAATTTCCCATTGAAAATGAATGGGAGCGGAAAAATGGCCAAAGTCAGTGTTTGCAAGTGTTGTACTTGTCTGGAAGTGTTGAAAATGCATTGTGAGCACGTTTCAGGCCATTTCCTGTCATTTGAGGGCGACTTTGCAAAAAGGGGTGTCATACCGCTTTTGACCAGAGGTGGCGCTGCACATGTCCGACGGTTAGGGTTAGGGTGAGACTTTGGGCAAGGGGTTAGGGTTAGGGCTGGAGCTATGGTTAGGGTTAGTTGTGGAGCTAGGGTTAGGGTTAGGGTTGGAGCTAGGGTTAGGGTTAGGGTTGGAGCTAGGGTTAGGGTTAGGGTTAGGAAAATGTGAAGATTTTCCCAAAATCTGAAGATTTTCCTAAGTGCGGACCCAATTTTTCACCTTCCAGAATTGTGTTAGGAGCACGTTTCAGGCCACGGGGAGTCCATAGAACCTGATTGTGGGTGAAGTTTTCGGGGGTTGGAGCTTTGGGGCAGGATATAGGGATATGTGCCACTTTTGACATGCCGGTTCATTGCCTTTCCCATGATGAACCGGGCTGAGATTTGGTCTACCCCCCCATTTTCGGGTATGCTGAATCTAGAAATAGTAATGAACCAGCGATCGGACATTCCTATCAAAAGTTATGGCGAAGTGAAAATTTCCCATTGAAAATGAATGGGAGCGGAAAAATGGCCAAAGTCAGTGTTTGCAAGTGTTGTACTTGTCTGGAAGTGTTGAAAATGCATTGTGAGCACGTTTCAGGCCATTTCCTGTCATTTGAGGGCGACTTTGCAAAAGGGGTGTCATACCGCTTTTGACCAGAGGTGGCGCTGCACATGTCCGACGGTTAGGGTTAGGGTGAGACTTTGGGCAAGGGGTTAGGGTTAGGGCTGGAGCTATGGTTAGGGTTAGTTGTGGAGCTAGGGTTAGGGTTAGGGTTGGAGCTAGGGTTAGGGTTAGGGTTGGAGCTAGGGTTAGGGTTAGGGTTAGGAAAATGTGAAGATTTTCCCAAAATCTGAAGATTTTCCTAAGTGCGGACCCAATTTTTCACCTTCCAGAATTGTGTTAGGAGCACGTTTCAGGCCACGGGGAGTCCATAGAACCTGATTGTGGGTGAAGTTTTCGGGGGTTGGAGCTTTGGGGCAGGATATAGGGATATGTGCCACTTTTGACATGCCGGTTCATTGCCTTTCCCATGATGAACCGGGCTGAGATTTGGTCTACCCCCCATTTTCGGGTATGCTGAATCTAGAAATAGTAATGAACCAGCGATCGGACATTCCTATCAAAAGTTATGGCGAAGTGAAAATTTCCCATTGAAAATGAATGGGAGCGGAAAAATGGCCAAAGTCAGTGTTTGCAAGTGTTGTACTTGTCTGGAAGTGTTGAAAATGCATTGTGAGCACGTTTCAGGCCATTTCCTGTCATTTGAGGGCGACTTTGCAAAAAGGGGTGTCATACCGCTTTTGACCAGAGGTGGCGCTGCACATGTCCGACGGTTAGGGTTAGGGTGAGACTTTGGGCAAGGGGTTAGGGTTAGGGCTGGAGCTATGGTTAGGGTTAGTTGTGGAGCTAGGGTTAGGGTTAGGGTTGGAGCTAGGGTTAGGGTTAGGGTTGGAGCTAGGGTTAGGGTTAGGGTTAGGAAAATGTGAAGATTTTCCCAAAATCTGAAGATTTTCCTAAGTGCGGACCCAATTTTTCACCTTCCAGAATTGTGTTAGGAGCACGTTTCAGGCCACGGGGAGTCCATAGAACCTGATTGTGGGTGAAGTTTTCGGGGGTTGGAGCTTTGGGGCAGGATATAGGGATATGTGCCACTTTTGACATGCCGGTTCATTGCCTTTCCCATGATGAACCGGGCTGAGATTTGGTCTACCCCCCCATTTTCGGGTATGCTGAATCTAGAAATAGTAATGAACCAGCGATCGGACATTCCTATCAAAAGTTATGGCGAAGTGAAAATTTCCCATTGAAAATGAATGGGAGCGGAAAATGGCCAAAGTCAGTGTTTGCAAGTGTTGTACTTGTCTGGAAGTGTTGAAAATGCATTGTGAGCACGTTTCAGGCCATTTCCTGTCATTTGAGGGCGACTTTGCAAAAAGGGGTGTCATACCGCTTTTGACCAGAGGTGGCGCTGCACATGTCCGACGGTTAGGGTTAGGGTGAGACTTTGGGCAAGGGGTTAGGGTTAGGGCTGGAGCTATGGTTAGGGTTAGTTGTGGAGCTAGGGTTAGGGTTAGGGTTGGAGCTAGGGTTAGGGTTAGGGTTGGAGCTAGGGTTAGGGTTAGGGTTAGGAAAATGTGAAGATTTTCCCAAAATCTGAAGATTTTCCTAAGTGCGGACCCAATTTTTCACCTTCCAGAATTGTGTTAGGAGCACGTTTCAGGCCACGGGGAGTCCATAGAACCTGATTGTGGGTGAAGTTTTCGGGGGTTGGAGCTTTGGGGCAGGATATAGGGATATGTGCCACTTTTGACATGCCGGTTCATTGCCTTTCCCATGATGAACCGGGCTGAGATTTGGTCTACCCCCCATTTTCGGGTATGCTGAATCTAGAAATAGTAATGAACCAGCGATCGGACATTCCTATCAAAAGTTATGGCGAAGTGAAAATTTCCCATTGAAAATGAATGGGAGCGGAAAATGGCCAAAGTCAGTGTTTGCAAGTGTTGTACTTGTCTGGAAGTGTTGAAAATGCATTGTGAGCACGTTTCAGGCCATTTCCTGTCATTTGAGGGCGACTTTGCAAAAAGGGGTGTCATACCGCTTTTGACCAGAGGTGGCGCTGCACATGTCCGACGGTTAGGGTTAGGGTGAGACTTTGGGCAAGGGGTTAGGGTTAGGGCTGGAGCTATGGTTAGGGTTAGTTGTGGAGCTAGGGTTAGGGTTAGGGTTGGAGCTAGGGTTAGGGTTAGGGTTGGAGCTAGGGTTAGGGTTAGGGTTAGGAAAATGTGAAGATTTTCCCAAAATCTGAAGATTTTCCTAAGTGCGGACCCAATTTTTCACCTTCCAGAATTGTGTTAGGAGCACGTTTCAGGCCACGGGGAGTCCATAGAACCTGATTGTGGGTGAAGTTTTCGGGGGTTGGAGCTTTGGGGCAGGATATAGGGATATGTGCCACTTTTGACATGCCGGTTCATTGCCTTTCCCATCGATGAACCGGGCTGAGATTTGGTCTACCCCCCCATTTTCGGGTATGCTGAATCTAGAAATAGTAATGAACCAGCGATCGGACATTCCTATCAAAAGTTATGGCGAAGTGAAAATTTCCCATTGAAAATGAATGGGAGCGGAAAAATGGCCAAAGTCAGTGTTTGCAAGTGTTGTACTTGTCTGGAAGTGTTGAAAATGCATTGTGAGCACGTTTCAGGCCATTTCCTGTCATTTGAGGGCGACTTTGCAAAAAGGGGTGTCATACCGCTTTTGACCAGAGGTGGCGCTGCACATGTCCGACGGTTAGGGTTAGGGTGAGACTTTGGGCAAGGGGTTAGGGTTAGGGCTGGAGCTATGGTTAGGGTTAGTTGTGGAGCTAGGGTTAGGGTTAGGGTTGGGGCTAGGGTTAGGGTTAGGGTTGGAGCTAGGGTTAGGGTTAGGGTTAGGAAAATGTGAAGATTTTCCCAAAATCTGAAGATTTTCCTAAGTGCGGACCCAATTTTTCACCTTCCAGAATTGTGTTAGGAGCACGTTTCAGGCCACGGGGAGTCCATAGAACCTGATTGTGGGTGAAGTTTTCGGGGGTTGGAGCTTTGGGGCAGGATATAGGGATATGTGCCACTTTTGACATGCCGGTTCATTGCCTTTCCCATGATGAACCGGGCTGAGATTTGGTCTACCCCCCATTTTCGGGTATGCTGAATCTAGAAATAGTAATGAACCAGCGATCGGACATTCCTATCAAAAGTTATGGCGAAGTGAAAATTTCCCATTGAAAATGAATGGGAGCGGAAAAATGGCCAAAGTCAGTGTTTGCAAGTGTTGTACTTGTCTGGAAGTGTTGAAAATGCATTGTGAGCACGTTTCAGGCCATTTCCTGTCATTTGAGGGCGACTTTGCAAAAAGGGGTGTCATACCGCTTTTGACCAGAGGTGGCGCTGCACATGTCCGACGGTTAGGGTTAGGGTGAGACTTTGGGCAAGGGGTTAGGGTTAGGGCTGGAGCTATGGTTAGGGTTAGTTGTGGAGCTAGGGTTAGGGTTAGGGTTGGAGCTAGGGTTAGGGTTAGGGTTGGAGCTAGGGTTAGGGTTAGGGTTAGGAAAATGTGAAGATTTTCCCAAAATCTGAAGATTTTCCTAAGTGCGGACCCAATTTTTCACCTTCCAGAATTGTGTTAGGAGCACGTTTCAGGCCACGGGGAGTCCATAGAACCTGATTGTGGGTGAAGTTTTCGGGGGTTGGAGCTTTGGGGCAGGATATAGGGATATGTGCCACTTTTGACATGCCGGTTCATTGCCTTTCCCATGATGAACCGGGCTGAGATTTGGTCTACCCCCCCATTTTCGGGTATGCTGAATCTAGAAATAGTAATGAACCAGCGATCGGACATTCCTATCAAAAGTTATGGCGAAGTGAAAATTTCCCATTGAAAATGAATGGGAGCGGAAAATGGCCAAAGTCAGTGTTTGCAAGTGTTGTACTTGTCTGGAAGTGTTGAAAATGCATTGTGAGCACGTTTCAGGCCATTTCCTGTCATTTGAGGGCGACTTTGCAAAAAGGGGTGTCATACCGCTTTTGACCAGAGGTGGCGCTGCACATGTCCGACGGTTAGGGTTAGGGTGAGACTTTGGGCAAGGGGTTAGGGTTAGGGCTGGAGCTATGGTTAGGGTTAGTTGTGGAGCTAGGGTTAGGGTTAGGGTTGGAGCTAGGGTTAGGGTTAGGGTTGGAGCTAGGGTTAGGGTTAGGGTTAGGAAAATGTGAAGATTTTCCCAAAATCTGAAGATTTTCCTAAGTGCGGACCCAATTTTTCACCTTCCAGAATTGTGTTAGGAGCACGTTTCAGGCCACGGGGAGTCCATAGAACCTGATTGTGGGTGAAGTTTTCGGGGGTTGGAGCTTTGGGGCAGGATATAGGGATATGTGCCACTTTTGACATGCCGGTTCATTGCCTTTCCCATGATGAACCGGGCTGAGATTTGGTCTACCCCCCCATTTTCGGGTATGCTGAATCTAGAAATAGTAATGAACCAGCGATCGGACATTCCTATCAAAAGTTATGGCGAAGTGAAAATTTCCCATTGAAAATGAATGGGAGCGGAAAATGGCCAAAGTCAGTGTTTGCAAGTGTTGTACTTGTCTGGAAGTGTTGAAAATGCATTGTGAGCACGTTTCAGGCCATTTCCTGTCATTTGAGGGCGACTTTGCAAAAAGGGGTGTCATACCGCTTTTGACCAGAGGTGGCGCTGCACATGTCCGACGGTTAGGGTTAGGGTGAGACTTTGGGCAAGGGGTTAGGGTTAGGGCTGGAGCTATGGTTAGGGTTAGTTGTGGAGCTAGGGTTAGGGTTAGGGTTGGAGCTAGGGTTAGGGTTAGGGTTGGAGCTAGGGTTAGGGTTAGGGTTAGGAAAATGTGAAGATTTTCCCAAAATCTGAAGATTTTCCTAAGTGCGGACCCAATTTTTCACCTTCCAGAATTGTGTTAGGAGCACGTTTCAGGCCACGGGGAGTCCATAGAACCTGATTGTGGGTGAAGTTTTCGGGGGTTGGAGCTTTGGGGCAGGATATAGGGATATGTGCCACTTTTGACATGCCGGTTCATTGCCTTTCCCATGATGAACCGGGCTGAGATTTGGTCTACCCCCCATTTTCGGGTATGCTGAATCTAGAAATAGTAATGAACCAGCGATCGGACATTCCTATCAAAAGTTATGGCGAAGTGAAAATTTCCCATTGAAAATGAATGGGAGCGGAAAATGGCCAAAGTCAGTGTTTGCAAGTGTTGTACTTGTCTGGAAGTGTTGAAAATGCATTGTGAGCACGTTTCAGGCCATTTCCTGTCATTTGAGGGCGACTTTGCAAAAAGGGGTGTCATACCGCTTTTGACCAGAGGTGGCGCTGCACATGTCCGACGGTTAGGGTTAGGGTGAGACTTTGGGCAAGGGGTTAGGGTTAGGGCTGGAGCTATGGTTAGGGTTAGTTGTGGAGCTAGGGTTAGGGTTAGGGTTGGAGCTAGGGTTAGGGTTAGGGTTGGAGCTAGGGTTAGGGTTAGGGTTAGGAAAATGTGAAGATTTTCCCAAAATCTGAAGATTTTCCTAAGTGCGGACCCAATTTTTCACCTTCCAGAATTGTGTTAGGAGCACGTTTCAGGCCACGGGGAGTCCATAGAACCTGATTGTGGGTGAAGTTTTCGGGGGTTGGAGCTTTGGGGCAGGATATAGGGATATGTGCCACTTTTGACATGCCGGTTCATTGCCTTTCCCATGATGAACCGGGCTGAGATTTGGTCTACCCCCCATTTTCGGGTATGCTGAATCTAGAAATAGTAATGAACCAGCGATCGGACATTCCTATCAAAAGTTATGGCGAAGTGAAAATTTCCCATTGAAAATGAATGGGAGCGGAAAATGGCCAAAGTCAGTGTTTGCAAGTGTTGTACTTGTCTGGAAGTGTTGAAAATGCATTGTGAGCACGTTTCAGGCCATTTCCTGTCATTTGAGGGCGACTTTGCAAAAAGGGGTGTCATACCGCTTTTGACCAGAGGTGGCGCTGCACATGTCCGACGGTTAGGGTTAGGGTGAGACTTTGGGCAAGGGGTTAGGGTTAGGGCTGGAGCTATGGTTAGGGTTAGTTGTGGAGCTAGGGTTGGGTTAGGGTTGGAGCTAGGGTTAGGGTTAGGGTTGGAGCTAGGGTTAGGGTTAGGGTTAGGAAAATGTGAAGATTTTCCCAAAATCTGAAGATTTTCCTAAGTGCGGACCCAATTTTTCACCTTCCAGAATTGTGTTAGGAGCACGTTTCAGGCCACGGGGAGTCCATAGAACCTGATTGTGGGTGAAGTTTTCGGGGGTTGGAGCTTTGGGGCAGGATATAGGGATATGTGCCACTTTTGACATGCCGGTTCATTGCCTTTCCCATGATGAACCGGGCTGAGATTTGGTCTACCCCCCATTTTCGGGTATGCTGAATCTAGAAATAGTAATGAACCAGCGATCGGACATTCCTATCAAAAGTTATGGCGAAGTGAAAATTTCCCATTGAAAATGAATGGGAGCGGAAAATGGCCAAAGTCAGTGTTTGCAAGTGTTGTACTTGTCTGGAAGTGTTGAAAATGCATTGTGAGCACGTTTCAGGCCATTTCCTGTCATTTGAGGGCGACTTTGCAAAAAGGGGTGTCATACCGCTTTTGACCAGAGGTGGCGCTGCACATGTCCGACGGTTAGGGTTAGGGTGAGACTTTGGGCAAGGGGTTAGGGTTAGGGCTGGAGCTATGGTTAGGGTTAGTTGTGGAGCTAGGGTTAGGGTTAGGGTTGGAGCTAGGGTTAGGGTTAGGGTTGGAGCTAGGGTTAGGGTTAGGGTTAGGAAAATGTGAAGATTTTCCCAAAATCTGAAGATTTTCCTAAGTGCGGACCCAATTTTTCACCTTCCAGAATTGTGTTAGGAGCACGTTTCAGGCCACGGGGAGTCCATAGAACCTGATTGTGGGTGAAGTTTTCGGGGGTTGGAGCTTTGGGGCAGGATATAGGGATATGTGCCACTTTTGACATGCCGGTTCATTGCCTTTCCCATGATGAACCGGGCTGAGATTTGGTCTACCCCCCATTTTCGGGTATGCTGAATCTAGAAATAGTAATGAACCAGCGATCGGACATTCCTATCAAAAGTTATGGCGAAGTGAAAATTTCCCATTGAAAATGAATGGGAGCGGAAAATGGCCAAAGTCAGTGTTTGCAAGTGTTGTACTTGTCTGGAAGTGTTGAAAATGCATTGTGAGCACGTTTCAGGCCATTTCCTGTCATTTGAGGGCGACTTTGCAAAAAGGGGTGTCATACCGCTTTTGACCAGAGGTGGCGCTGCACATGTCCGACGGTTAGGGTTAGGGTGAGACTTTGGGCAAGGGGTTAGGGTTAGGGCTGGAGCTATGGTTAGGGTTAGTTGTGGAGCTAGGGTTAGGGTTAGGGTTGGAGCTAGGGTTAGGGTTAGGGTTGGAGCTAGGGTTAGGGTTAGGGTTAGGAAAATGTGAAGATTTTCCCAAAATCTGAAGATTTTCCTAAGTGCGGACCCAATTTTTCACCTTCCAGAATTGTGTTAGGAGCACGTTTCAGGCCACGGGGAGTCCATAGAACCTGATTGTGGGTGAAGTTTTCGGGGGTTGGAGCTTTGGGGCAGGATATAGGGATATGTGCCACTTTTGACATGCCGGTTCATTGCCTTTCCCATCGATGAACCGGGCTGAGATTTGGTCTACCCCCCCATTTTCGGGTATGCTGAATCTAGAAATAGTAATGAACCAGCGATCGGACATTCCTATCAAAAGTTATGGCGAAGTGAAAATTTCCCATTGAAAATGAATGGGAGCGGAAAATGGCCAAAGTCAGTGTTTGCAAGTGTTGTACTTGTCTGGAAGTGTTGAAAATGCATTGTGAGCACGTTTCAGGCCATTTCCTGTCATTTGAGGGCGACTTTGCAAAAAGGGGTGTCATACCGCTTTTGACCAGAGGTGGCGCTGCACATGTCCGACGGTTAGGGTTAGGGTGAGACTTTGGGCAAGGGGTTAGGGTTAGGGCTGGAGCTATGGTTAGGGTTAGTTGTGGAGCTAGGGTTAGGGTTAGGGTTGGAGCTAGGGTTAGGGTTAGGGTTGGAGCTAGGGTTAGGGTTAGGGTTAGGAAAATGTGAAGATTTTCCCAAAATCTGAAGATTTTCCTAAGTGCGGACCCAATTTTTCACCTTCCAGAATTGTGTTAGGAGCACGTTTCAGGCCACGGGGAGTCCATAGAACCTGATTGTGGGTGAAGTTTTCGGGGGTTGGAGCTTTGGGGCAGGATATAGGGATATGTGCCACTTTTGACATGCCGGTTCATTGCCTTTCCCATGATGAACCGGGCTGAGATTTGGTCTACCCCCCATTTTCGGGTATGCTGAATCTAGAAATAGTAATGAACCAGCGATCGGACATTCCTATCAAAAGTTATGGCGAAGTGAAAATTTCCCATTGAAAATGAATGGGAGCGGAAAATGGCCAAAGTCAGTGTTTGCAAGTGTTGTACTTGTCTGGAAGTGTTGAAAATGCATTGTGAGCACGTTTCAGGCCATTTCCTGTCATTTGAGGGCGACTTTGCAAAAGGGGTGTCATACCGCTTTTGACCAGAGGTGGCGCTGCACATGTCCGACGGTTAGGGTTAGGGTGAGACTTTGGGCAAGGGGTTAGGGTTAGGGCTGGAGCTATGGTTAGGGTTAGTTGTGGAGCTAGGGTTAGGGTTAGGGTTGGAGCTAGGGTTAGGGTTAGGGTTGGAGCTAGGGTTAGGGTTAGGGTTAGGAAAATGTGAAGATTTTCCCAAAATCTGAAGATTTTCCTAAGTGCGGACCCAATTTTTCACCTTCCAGAATTGTGTTAGGAGCACGTTTCAGGCCACGGGGAGTCCATAGAACCTGATTGTGGGTGAAGTTTTCGGGGGTTGGAGCTTTGGGGCAGGATATAGGGATATGTGCCACTTTTGACATGCCGGTTCATTGCCTTTCCCATGATGAACCGGGCTGAGATTTGGTCTACCCCCCATTTTCGGGTATGCTGAATCTAGAAATAGTAATGAACCAGCGATCGGACATTCCTATCAAAAGTTATGGCGAAGTGAAAATTTCCCATTGAAAATGAATGGGAGCGGAAAATGGCCAAAGTCAGTGTTTGCAAGTGTTGTACTTGTCTGGAAGTGTTGAAAATGCATTGTGAGCACGTTTCAGGCCATTTCCTGTCATTTGAGGGCGACTTTGCAAAAGGGGTGTCATACCGCTTTTGACCAGAGGTGGCGCTGCACATGTCCGACGGTTAGGGTTAGGGTGAGACTTTGGGCAAGGGGTTAGGGTTAGGGCTGGAGCTATGGTTAGGGTTAGTTGTGGAGCTAGGGTTAGGGTTAGGGTTGGAGCTAGGGTTAGGGTTAGGGTTGGAGCTAGGGTTAGGGTTAGGGTTAGGAAAATGTGAAGATTTTCCCAAAATCTGAAGATTTTCCTAAGTGCGGACCCAATTTTTCACCTTCCAGAATTGTGTTAGGAGCACGTTTCAGGCCACGGGGAGTCCATAGAACCTGATTGTGGGTGAAGTTTTCGGGGGTTGGAGCTTTGGGGCAGGATATAGGGATATGTGCCACTTTTGACATGCCGGTTCATTGCCTTTCCCATGATGAACCGGGCTGAGATTTGGTCTACCCCCCCATTTTCGGGTATGCTGAATCTAGAAATAGTAATGAACCAGCGATCGGACATTCCTATCAAAAGTTATGGCGAAGTGAAAATTTCCCATTGAAAATGAATGGGAGCGGAAAATGGCCAAAGTCAGTGTTTGCAAGTGTTGTACTTGTCTGGAAGTGTTGAAAATGCATTGTGAGCACGTTTCAGGCCATTTCCTGTCATTTGAGGGCGACTTTGCAAAAAGGGGTGTCATACCGCTTTTGACCAGAGGTGGCGCTGCACATGTCCGACGGTTAGGGTTAGGGTGAGACTTTGGGCAAGGGGTTAGGGTTAGGGCTGGAGCTATGGTTAGGGTTAGTTGTGGAGCTAGGGTTAGGGTTAGGGTTGGAGCTAGGGTTAGGGTTAGGGTTGGAGCTAGGGTTAGGGTTAGGGTTAGGAAAATGTGAAGATTTTCCCAAAATCTGAAGATTTTCCTAAGTGCGGACCCAATTTTTCACCTTCCAGAATTGTGTTAGGAGCACGTTTCAGGCCACGGGGAGTCCATAGAACCTGATTGTGGGTGAAGTTTTCGGGGGTTGGAGCTTTGGGGCAGGATATAGGGATATGTGCCACTTTTGACATGCCGGTTCATTGCCTTTCCCATGATGAACCGGGCTGAGATTTGGTCTACCCCCCCATTTTCGGGTATGCTGAATCTAGAAATAGTAATGAACCAGCGATCGGACATTCCTATCAAAAGTTATGGCGAAGTGAAAATTTCCCATTGAAAATGAATGGGAGCGGAAAATGGCCAAAGTCAGTGTTTGCAAGTGTTGTACTTGTCTGGAAGTGTTGAAAATGCATTGTGAGCACGTTTCAGGCCATTTCCTGTCATTTGAGGGCGACTTTGCAAAAAGGGGTGTCATACCGCTTTTGACCAGAGGTGGCGCTGCACATGTCCGACGGTTAGGGTTAGGGTGAGACTTTGGGCAAGGGGTTAGGGTTAGGGCTGGAGCTATGGTTAGGGTTAGTTGTGGAGCTAGGGTTAGGGTTAGGGTTGGAGCTAGGGTTAGGGTTAGGGTTGGAGCTAGGGTTAGGGTTAGGGTTAGGAAAATGTGAAGATTTTCCCAAAATCTGAAGATTTTCCTAAGTGCGGACCCAATTTTTCACCTTCCAGAATTGTGTTAGGAGCACGTTTCAGGCCACGGGGAGTCCATAGAACCTGATTGTGGGTGAAGTTTTCGGGGGTTGGAGCTTTGGGGCAGGATATAGGGATATGTGCCACTTTTGACATGCCGGTTCATTGCCTTTCCCATGATGAACCGGGCTGAGATTTGGTCTACCCCCCCATTTTCGGGTATGCTGAATCTAGAAATAGTAATGAACCAGCGATCGGACATTCCTATCAAAAGTTATGGCGAAGTGAAAATTTCCCATTGAAAATGAATGGGAGCGGAAAAATGGCCAAAGTCAGTGTTTGCAAGTGTTGTACTTGTCTGGAAGTGTTGAAAATGCATTGTGAGCACGTTTCAGGCCATTTCCTGTCATTTGAGGGCGACTTTGCAAAAAGGGGTGTCATACCGCTTTTGACCAGAGGTGGTGCTGCACATGTCCGACGGTTAGGGTTAGGGTGAGACTTTGGGCAAGGGGTTAGGGTTAGGGCTGGAGCTATGGTTAGGGTTAGTTGTGGAGCTAGGGTTAGGGTTAGGGTTGGAGCTAGGGTTAGGGTTAGGGTTGGAGCTAGGGTTAGGGTTAGGGTTAGGAAAATGTGAAGATTTTCCCAAAATCTGAAGATTTTCCTAAGTGCGGACCCAATTTTTCACCTTCCAGAATTGTGTTAGGAGCACGTTTCAGGCCACGGGGAGTCCATAGAACCTGATTGTGGGTGAAGTTTTCGGGGGTTGGAGCTTTGGGGCAGGATATAGGGATATGTGCCACTTTTGACATGCCGGTTCATTGCCTTTCCCATGATGAACCGGGCTGAGATTTGGTCTACCCCCCATTTTCGGGTATGCTGAATCTAGAAATAGTAATGAACCAGCGATCGGACATTCCTATCAAAAGTTATGGCGAAGTGAAAATTTCCCATTGAAAATGAATGGGAGCGGAAAAATGGCCAAAGTCAGTGTTTGCAAGTGTTGTACTTGTCTGGAAGTGTTGAAAATGCATTGTGAGCACGTTTCAGGCCATTTCCTGTCATTTGAGGGCGACTTTGCAAAAAGGGGTGTCATACCGCTTTTGACCAGAGGTGGCGCTGCACATGTCCGACGGTTAGGGTTAGGGTGAGACTTTGGGCAAGGGGTTAGGGTTAGGGCTGGAGCTATGGTTAGGGTTAGTTGTGGAGCTAGGGTTAGGGTTAGGGTTGGAGCTAGGGTTAGGGTTAGGGTTGGAGCTAGGGTTAGGGTTAGGGTTAGGAAAATGTGAAGATTTTCCCAAAATCTGAAGATTTTCCTAAGTGCGGACCCAATTTTTCACCTTCCAGAATTGTGTTAGGAGCACGTTTCAGGCCACGGGGAGTCCATAGAACCTGATTGTGGGTGAAGTTTTCGGGGGTTGGAGCTTTGGGGCAGGATATAGGGATATGTGCCACTTTTGACATGCCGGTTCATTGCCTTTCCCATGATGAACCGGGCTGAGATTTGGTCTACCCCCCATTTTCGGGTATGCTGAATCTAGAAATAGTAATGAACCAGCGATCGGACATTCCTATCAAAAGTTATGGCGAAGTGAAAATTTCCCATTGAAAATGAATGGGAGCGGAAAATGGCCAAAGTCAGTGTTTGCAAGTGTTGTACTTGTCTGGAAGTGTTGAAAATGCATTGTGAGCACGTTTCAGGCCATTTCCTGTCATTTGAGGGCGACTTTGCAAAAGGGGTGTCATACCGCTTTTGACCAGAGGTGGTGCTGCACATGTCCGACGGTTAGGGTTAGGGTGAGACTTTGGGCAAGGGGTTAGGGTTAGGGCTGGAGCTATGGTTAGGGTTAGTTGTGGAGCTAGGGTTAGGGTTAGGAGCTAGGGTTAGGGTTAGGGTTGGAGCTAGGGTTAGGGTTAGGGTTAGGAAAATGTGAAGATTTTCCCAAAATCTGAAGATTTTCCTAAGTGCGGACCCAATTTTTCACCTTCCAGAATTGTGTTAGGAGCACGTTTCAGGCCACGGGGAGTCCATAGAACCTGATTGTGGGTGAAGTTTTCGGGGGTTGGAGCTTTGGGGCAGGATATAGGGATATGTGCCACTTTTGACATGCCGGTTCATTGCCTTTCCCAATGATGAACCGGGCTGAGATTTGGTCTACCCCCCCATTTTCGGGTATGCTGAATCTAGAAATAGTAATGAACCAGCGATCGGACATTCCTATCAAAAGTTATGGCGAAGTGAAAATTTCCCATTGAAGATGAATGGGAGCGGAAAAATGGCCAAAGTCAGTGTTTGCAAGTGTTCTACTTGTCTGGAAATGTTGAAAATGCATTGTGAGCACGTTTCAGGCCATTTCCTGTCATTTGAGGGCGACTTTGCAAAAGGGGTGTCCTACCGCTTTTGACCAGAGGTGGCGCTGCACATGTCCGACGGTTAGGGTTAGGGTGAGACTTTGGGCAAGGGGTTAGGGTTAGGGCTGGAGCTATGGTTAGGGTTAGTTGTGGAGCTAGGGTTGGAG